GATGAGAAAGGGCCAGTTTAGAGGAGGGGGCTGTAGCCTCCTGGCCACAGCAGGGAAAAGTAGCCAAACACTGAGGCTGAGGGAACAAGGAAAGGAAACCAAGGTGGACTTTCTCAAAGGCTGGCATGCCACCCAGCCCAAGGCTCTGTCCTGGCTGGCCGTGGAGCTGGGGAGGCAGGTGGGCAGGCCGTGGTGGGTCCCTAGCCACTGAATATATGTGCACCCAAGTCAGACCAGCGCAGGCTGGATCAGAAGCGGTGAGTCAGGCAGTAAGGAAGTGGTAGGAAGGCGGGAGGCCCTGTGGTTAGGATTTGAGCTGCAGCCAGAGGAGGAGTTGGGGGGCCAGGAGTAGGACTCTAGCCTGGAAGAGTTGGGGTTGTGCTCCCCAGCAGCTGGGCCAGGGTAGCTATTGGGTGTGGGGACAGGACCCCAGCCAGTGTGTAGTGAAGTCTGAGCTCCTGGGCTCAGAGAGCCATGAAGGGCCTGGAAGGAGGGACATGAGGGGAACAGCTACTAAGTGTCTCCCAGCCAGGCGCTCACTGGGTGCTTTTTGGGTTGAGCGTTTACCGATTTCCTGCAGAATCTGTCTAATCCAGAGGCCCGGACAGGGCCTGAGGGGCTGCATCTCTCCTGTGCCCAGGACCACACTTTGAGGGCAAAGCCCAAGGCTTCTCTACTTGGCACCCCAATGGGCCTGTGAGTACTGCGGGTCCCCTCTTATGGGCAAAAAACAGGCTCAACTTACTTCCCAGGGCCATTCACAAAGCCCTGCTCCCTGCCCTCCACTGCGTGGGGGAAACAACACACTGGAGTCCTCACCCCACCAAGCCGTGGGGTCTGCACCCATTGGGGTCTGCCAGGTCCTCGAGTTCAGACCTTCCTGTCTCAGCTGGCCTCTTGCTGGAGCTTCCGAGCTTGCCCACAGCAGCATCTAAAGATAGCCAACCTCACAGGAAACCAGTCACTATTGGCTGGCTTCGCAAATAAAGATGCCCTGGGAGCCGGGAGAGGGAGACACTCTGACAGAGTCTGCGTGGGACAGGGTGGCTGATTGGACACCAGAGTTCCCTTCCCAGGCTCAGCCCAGGTAGGAGCAGAGGACGTGGCTGGCACCTGTGGGCTCGTGGGTGGAGTATGGTGATCAGATGTCAAAGTGGGTTAGTGAGTGGGTTTGCTTTGCACCCTGATAAGAGAGACAATTTTCCTGAAGGTGCTGCAGGCTGAAAGTCCAAGGGGTATGGGGGCAGGGGCCTCAGGTGCCCACTGGTCATGTGCTGGCCCAGGGATGTGGTAGTTATGTTTCAAGGGCTGGGGAAATGCCCACAATGAGACACTACAGAAAAGCATCAGTTCAAACTGCCCTTGGGTGATACTGAGGAACGCTCAGCTTTTTGGGGTGAGAAAGAGCATTGAAGTTGCTATTTCTACAAAGAATTCTTACTCTTTTAGAGACTCACATTTAACTGTCTACAGGCAAAATGCCATGAGGTCTGGACTTACTGTTAAGTAAACCAGTGGGATTAGAGGAGCAGGTGCAATCCTGACCGTGAGCTGCGCACTTGAAGTGGGGTGGTGGGCGCAGGAGGTTTGCCTGTTTTGACGTATGCTTGAAAATTCATTTAAAAAATAGGCTTTCAAGTTAACATCTGCATTTTAAAGATGAATATAGTTAACATGAATATCAAATATGCATCACGATTGGATGGGAAAAAGCTAAAACCTAGCTGTGGTTGATTCTGGAAGTTGGGTTGTAGAGTTGGGTTTGGTTTTTCTTTTATTTCCATGATTTTTTGTGCCATCCACTTTTTTATAAAGAACATATGCATTGCATTTATCATGAAAGCTATTTTAATGACTAAATCACTGGCATAGACTCGACATTCAATGTTGGCATGTGCTGTCATGATCATTGTGAGGACACGCAGGCCCGGAAGGTCTGTGTGTTTGGAAAACATGGTCCCCAGGAAGAAATTATGAGTAAACATACATGGGGTGCCAGGCAGCAGGACACATGGCCGGTGAGGGTGGCCGAGGCATGTCATCCACTAGCCTGGCTTGTACCTGGCCTCCATGTCCCCACAGACCCTGCGGTATCTGCCCTGTAGAGTCACAGCTGGGTCAGGAGAAGGGCCAGGGCAGTTCAGGATTTCCCTGCTCCCCAGAAGTTCTTCTTCTTTTTCAAATTAAGATAGAAAACTGGAGGTAGAACAAACTTGGAACCAAAAGGAAGCAGATTGAACCATGCAAGGGGAGGGCAGGGAAACTCGTGTGCCAGGACTTCCAGGGTCTGCTCAGGGACAGGTTAGCTGGAGCCCGAGGACTCTGGTGCACGGGGCACCTGTGCCCTGGGGGAGGCGGCCCTGGTGGAGCTGCATCCTCTGCCTTCTCTTTGCTTTACGCTCCCAGGGGGACGTGCAGCAGGAAACGGTTCTCACCCAGCTGAGATCAGCAATCCGGCTGAGGTCAGAGAGCCCAGGTGGCGGCAAAAGCTTCGCTGACCTGTCCCAGCTCAGCCTGGAGATGCCCATGGCTTGCATTCCCTGTGCTGCGACTCTGCCCAGGCGAGGCTCCCCGCTGAATCCCACCTGGGCTCTGAAGGCACAGGCACCATGGCTGGATTGCTCTGGGCTCCCCGGCTGCAGTGGGGCTCTCACAGTGGTCCAGCCAAACCGCAAGCATTCTGTATTAGCGTCCTGGAAGGGAGGAAACACCCTCCACATGCCCTCTTTGTGCTTTGCTTATGCCTGCACTCCCTGAAGCACAGCACACTCAGAGCAGTGAGCTGCTTTCGACTTACATGACTCGATCTCCCACCAAACTATCATCTGGACAGCAGGGGAGGATGGGCCAGCCCCCAGCAGCCTCCCTCAGTGCCCTTCCTGACCGCCATCCCGGCCCTCAGGGACGTTGCCACAATCCTGGCTTTTCAGGCTATTGCTTCTTTGCTTGCAGTCTCACATCTCCCCACCTCACCGCCGCTCCCCTGCCCAGTCTGCATCCCTGCACAGTATGAATTATCACTGCCTTTTTGAACCTGCAGGTACATGAATCCATGCAGTAGGTCTGTGTCTCTAAAATGCAGGTATGCTGTAGGAGGTGCAGGTGCACACACAAACATGTCCAGGGCAGTGACACCAACCTGAGGGCCACCTGGGTGTGCATCCATAGCAGGGCAGAGGGCACAGTGGGGCACTCACACAGTGGGGTCCATGCAGCAATGACAGGGAACCAACTGAGCCACAGTGGCAACCAGGATGAGATACTCCCAGCAATTCTGAGATGATTCACAGACAAGCACTGAGTCAGCCCTGTCTGCAAGGCGGTCCTCTAGTGCATCTCCACCAGGCACAACTTCTGTGTCCATGAACAAGAATTACTGCACTGCTGTCAGCCTCCAAAACTTCCAAGTTGCAAATTAGCCTAGAAGGTGAAAGGGGGAGCTAGCTCAGAGGGTATGCCAGGATAGGACACCCAGTTATTTTTAAGTTTTGCCTATTTCAAAGCCTTTTATAACTTTTCCTCACAGCTCCTTATGCGTGGGATTCGAGGCCCCTCTGTCTACCCCACTCTGCTTTCTCTGCGTCTTTCTGAACCTCCACTCAGACTAACTGTAATCTCCCAGAAGCTCTGGAATGTCTCAGCCCCTCCTGACTCAGCCCCCTCTCCTCCTTCTCCTTCTAGCACATTCCCTCACACTCACACCCTCCCTGCCTGGCCTCACAGCCTAGGGAGCCTCCCCGTTCTCAGACCCTCAGGTGCCTTGGCTCCAAACCCCACCCCCTTTCCCCTCCCACCGCTGTCTACCTGGAAGATCCTCCCCGCTTGTCAGACTTTGCTTAAACGCTCTCAACCTTGCATTTCCCACAAGTTTCTTTACATTCTGCTGCTAAACAATAACAATTTACCGACACTTTATCTTAGCCACTTTTACCTCCACAGAATTTAGCACTGTGTCTAGCATTGGGGAAATAAAATTAAAAATAAAATCTCCAACCTGCAAAAGCCTCTCCATAAAGACAGTCAAGAAAACCATTTTCTTACTGAGCAGACATTAAAGTGGAATGCAATGTGCATTGTAGGCAATTCGCCAAGGCAGGGCCAAGCCAGAAAGCCTTCCCATGTTCAAACAGCCAGGCAGATACAGCCTCTCGCCCAGCGTACCTGTGGTGGGTCCTCAGGAGAGCTGGACAGTCCCACAGAGTCATCCTACCTCCTCCACAGCAGCTGGGGGGCCATCTGTATGAGCAGATGCACTTCGTCCAAGAAGAAATCAACTTCCATGTCCATGATGGAATGCAGCCAGGAAGCTGGGGCAAGGCACCCACCCAGGCAGGCTCTGAGCCCCACAGAAACTACGATTGGGGGCTCTGGGTACCTCCATTTCAAACAGATGGCTCCCCAGTCCTGGAGAAAGACACTCCCAAGTTGTAAAGCTGACAGAAGAAGCTACCATTATTTTCAAAAGGCCATCAAACCCACATTTCAAAGAGGAGGAAATATTTTCCAGGACAAGCTTGCTAAAGCTAATGCTCCCAGAAAAAGGAGGCAAAGGGAATCTCTTCCCTTATTTTCATGGAGAATTACACCCCTTATTTTTGTTTGTCCTTACACTGGCACATGATAGACATTTAAAGATGTTGACTTAGTTACTAATTAATAAACAAGCCTGTCTCTCCCCCAATTATTTATTAATTTTTTCCTTTAAAAAAATTTTTATTTTTATTTTTATTTTGGTATCATTAATATACAATTACATGAGCAACATTGATCTGTCCCCCAATTATTGAAAAAAAAAAGGCAAAGCATTTCCTTTCAAAATTTCTCAGGTCACCTTGACAGAGATAAATGCTGTAAAGCACCCTGAAGAGGAACGGAAGGGAGGCGCTCAGACCCAGAACACGGCACGGTCTGCGGAGGGGCAGTTTCCCCTGGTCAGGGGGTAATTCCGTGTTGCTCCAGGTGGGCTCATTGCTGAGGAATAGAAACTCGGTTTGTCATGCAGGGCGTGGGTAGGAGTGGTGGAGCGTGGGGTCCTGGGCGTGGGGTTCGAGCCCCCGTTGGCCCCGCCTCTGCCCTCTCAGCTGTGACTCTCCCTGCACCCTGAGGGGTGTCATTAAACAGCTTCCACTGTAAATGAATCCCATCACATAATCCCTGGTAAACTTGGGGCCCAGACAGTGGGGTCAGGTTTGGGGCCAGGCTGAGAACTTTCCCACCTACTGTACAGTGAGGCTCACGACCTCGAAATCAGCTGCTCTGGCTCTGGCTCCAGACTGAACCTCACCTGGATGCTGGCAGGTGCAAGACCAAAGCTTCGTGTTACCTGGGAGGCCACTTCCACCAACTAGAGTCCACCCTGGAGCTGACCCAGGACCCGTGTTGCTCTTTAAAAATACTTCCTTCTGTTCCATCCTTGTTGAAAAGCTGGGTGTGCCAGAGCTGGCCCTTAGGAGTGGTCTGGTCTGATGCTCTCATTCCACACTCAGGAAACTGAGGCAGAGCTGGGCGTGAGCTGCCTGGGTCTCCCAGCTGCCCATGATGGGTTGGGCCCCTCTGAAGTACAGGGTCTGGAAAAGCTTCCCTCCCCACATCTTTGGAGGCAGGACCCTGCAGCCTTTTCCTTCTCCAGAAGAAAGGATCCCAGTCCCATCACCACTGTGATGGGAGCTAGATTTGGAGGGCTGGCAGTGAAGAGCACCAAGTTGTGACTGCAGAATAATACATCCCCTCTGCACCCCACCCCTGTCTTCCTGAGGGTCAGCCTGCAGGGTCCTGAGTCCGGAAGGAGAAGCCCAGGGAGAGTGCTCAGGTTGCGCCCTGGGCCCCACTCCCTTAGTGGGCTGTGCCTGCGCTGTTCAGTTCTAGTTCTGGAGAAGCGGCTGCAGGCTCCCCGCAGGAGGGACAGCATGATGCGGTGCAGGGACCGTGGTTTTGTGAGGAGTTGCCTCTGGCTCTGCTGGCCCCTGGGTTGGACTTTCCAAATCTCTCTGAGCTGTGGTTTAATTTGTGTGGGGGGTGGTCATTTCTCATTGGCATCATGCAGAGAATTAACCAGGATCTTCTGTGCATGACCCTCAGCAGGCATGCACCCTTGTGCTTTCACCCCAGGGCTTTCTGGGGAGGAACTCGGATGCTGGGGCAGTCAGTGAACAAAGGCATCTCCCAGGGAACACAGGCATCAGGGTTCAAGCCCTACCCTGGGGTTCTTTGATCCAAAGAACAAAAATTAAACCCTCAGTTTTCTCAGCATTAAACTGCACCTCAAACCTGGTCTTCCCTCAAGGCCTAAAAAGCCATAAATAGAGACCAAGAGGGTAAAAACCGGAAGTTGCTGCCCTGGATCTAGAAAACAGTGGACATGAAGCCAAAGAGAGGGGAGCAGCGTGAACAGGCAGTGGGACACAAGAAAATGGGTCTGGATGACCAAGAGGGTGGGAAGTGCAGAAAAGGGAAGCTGAGGGAGCAGCGGGTGAGGTGACCAGAAGAAGCTAAAAAAGAAATGAGCTGCCTGAGAAGAGGAAGTGGGCGGAGGAAGCACAACAGTATCGGGAGCCGGTGGAGATTTCTAGTCGGGATGGGATGTGCTCCTGTGGCTCACGGTGCTGTTTGGGGCTCAGCTCCACCTGCCCAGCTGGACACCGTGCAGCAAAACCTTGACTTAGTGGAATGCAGGGTGGGAGGCCCTGGCTCTGCAGAGGGCTCCTCGGCTCACGGTCCCTTGTGTGGCCCGTCGGCGGGCAGCTGCTCCCCTCCATGTAGATGCTGCTGCGGCTCCTCCTTGGACATCTGCACTTGGTTCCTGGAGCCCCAGGGGCAGGAAAGCCAGTGTCCACCTACGTGACAGCCAGTCAGGGCACTAGCAGCCCTTTGGCCTCCCTGGAGGCTCACCCTCGAGTGAGCTCTGGCCTTGTTCATGGTCCTGGCACATCTCAGAGGACCCAGAACTGAAAGGTCCTCCCTCTCGGCCCACCTAGATAAGGCTGCCTGGTTTAGCAGAATAATTAGCGGTGGAGGAAGCCCTGCCAGAGGTCAGCCTCCTGATATAAACAGCCCACACTCCCAGGGCTTGGCTGACAAGGCTGGGTTCCCACTGTAAATCTCCTTCCCATCCATCCAAGAATAGGGGGTCAGGGCAGCCACCGGGCCTCCACTTTTGCTTAGATGGGAGCTGGTGTCTGTGGCAATCAGATGTGCTCAATAGCTGTAGGAACAGGGAAGGGTGCTATGCCCGGGGCCCCTCTTAGGGAGCTGGAGGGCCTGCACTCACTCAGTGATGGAGCCTCTCCTCACCCACCCATCCAACTCTTAGCTTCCACAAAGTTCAGAGAATTCAAGGGCCCTGGCCCGTGGCAGAAAGGGCAGGACATTGGTGTCCCTGAGCACCTTGGGGAACTGTCAGCAAAGAGGCTGCTGTCGCCCCTCCTCCATGGAAGCCTTTGAACAAAGGTCTAGATACAATATTCACTCAACAAACACCCTGAGGCATCTGCTCTGTGCCGGCCCATCCCTCTGGTGAACGCTGGCAGGCAGAGCCGGATGGGACACTGTTGTCTGGGAACCCCCAGTCTGGGGCAGGGGATGCAAGGAAAATGGGAGAAATGTGCTGAAGTTGGGAGCCCCCAGGCCCAGACTGACGCCCTGTCACCTGCCAGCTTGTGGCCTTGAGTTATCCTCCACTCAGATGCCTCGACCTGCGCTTGAAGCAGAGGTAGTAATCCTTCCACGTGTTGGCCACAGTGTATGGAGCAGCTTTCACATGCTGCAGGTGACTGGGTAAGGCTATTTGCTCACTGGTTTATTTTAATTTTTCATATGACTCATATTATATTTTTATTTAAAAAATTTCAACTCAGTTAATGAAAAATTATCCCAGGATAGGTAGTACTAGGTATACATGGTAAAAAAAATGCCGCAGGTTTACAGTGAAAACCAAGTCTCCTTCCCGCTGTGCTGTGGTCTCCAGGACCCCTGTTCAGGGGCATTGCTGTCACTTCGTAGTGTGTCCCTCTGGAGACGCACAGACTTTACACAAGCATGTGCACACACACACACCCTACACCCCACACACTGCACACACAGGCTTCACCTAGCTTTCTTCACTTACCAGTATGTCTTGTTTCATCACAGAACATACAAATTGGCCCGGTGGTTGTTTGTTTATTCATTTGTTTGTTTGAAAAACAGATGTTAAGTATTTGTTATTGGGATGGCTCGCAGTTTAACTTTATCTGTCCCCGCTGACGGACATGGGGCTGTCTCCCTTCATCACATTTCCTCGCTCTAGTGACCATGGCACTCGTGTTCCCTTGAGCACATGTGTGAGCCTGTCTCTAGCACTATCTCCTGTAAGCCACTGAAATGCTTTTTATTTTCGTGCTCTCAGTGCAGTGGGGCAGGGAGGAGGAGCCATGAGAGGCAGAATAGCCGGCTGCCCTAGCTGCTTCACCACTCGCTCTGTGCTGGCTGTCTTCTCCCCGCCTGGTCTGGCCCTGTGCCAGCCCATCTCCCTCCTCTCAGGTGGATGAGCAGGACTTGAGTGTACGCCCCGCTCCCCACTCCAGCCGTGAGAACAGCCAGGTACTAACTCCTGCCGTGCCTCTTGTGGCCACATTGTGTGCAGTGGAGCTGTGGATGATACGAGCAACAGGTCTCAGAAGTGGCCAGTGTGGTTCCTGACTCACGTAGGAGCTCAATGACAGCCATGTCCCTCCTATTACTGTCTGTGGCAGGTGGAGAATTGCTTATCCAGGGAACCAAACTGTGTGCATGCAAAGTCCTCAGGAAAAGGGGACAGTTCAGGGGTCTTTGCAGGGCAATCTGGCCAGCAGGTAGCCAGGAGGAGACTGCCAGATGTTGCTGAGCTGCCCTGAGCAGACCTTCTGGATGACAGGTAGTGGTTCCAAGCTGGACCATACCCCCTGACCAGCTACTTGCTCTTAATAAGAAATAAGGTCAGCAGTCAGGCCAAATCACCCTCCCAGAGTGCCACCTGAGGTTGCCCCCATCTGCAAAAGAGAGGTGGACACACTCCCCTCATTCTGTCTCCATCTGCATCTGTCTGGACTCCTCCCATTGAGATGATGGCCTCTGTGATTGAGACTGTTCCCAACTGGTGTCTCCATGTGCCCTCCTGCCCTGCTGAGCCCAAAGCTGTGGGGCTGACACTCATCCCCTCCAACCAGGACCCCCCGGCTACTTTGGGGTCTTGGTGCAAGTTAGATAAGGCAGTCCTGTGCCAGGGCAGCCCTGGGCCGGGCACTCGCAAGGCAGGGCTGACCTGGGACCTCCTTGCCACTCAGCCCAGCAAGGGTTTGTTTCTGATTCTCCCTCCTTCCCCATCCTCTGTCCCAGCTCCCGTCTCCTGTCACCAATACCCCTGGAGCCATTCAGCAGGGAGGGAAATTGGATGTAGGGCTGTCCTTCAGGATTGCCAAGAGCACCGAGCAGGTAGGGTGGAGTATTTAGCAATGGGCCTGACAATCCAGTAAAAGCTCAGTAAAGGATGACTGTCTCCCCATTCCTCCCACGAAAAAAAAAATCTGATAAGAAAACATATTTCAGGGGAAAAGAAATGAAACAACCTTTAGAGACCAAATGGCCACATGCCTAGGGTGGTAGGGAACTATACAAATAGTGCAGTCCACAGGCAGCCTGGATGATTCCTGAAGTCCAAAGGGCCTCTGTCTCCTCACCCCATGCATTTATTAAGTGCCCGCTGCACGCAACGCAGGTTGCCAGGCACTCACCTCAGAACGGCCCTGCGAACAGGCATGAGAGTGAATCGCAGTCTTGCAGATGAGCAGGTTGAGGCCCCAAGTTCACCCAGGGTCCCTGGGCCAGAGAGGGCAGCCGGGATGCAGGCGCGGGAGAGACCTACTGCAGCCTTACCCTCCCTCCCACCTCCCTGCTCCCCTTCCTCCACGACCCAGGCACCCTTGCTGGGAAGTGTGCAGAGGTCCCTGTGTGGATACATAGGGCCAAGAGTGAAATCACACCCACCTTATGCAGACAGGGCAAAATCAAGCTAATCCAATAGCACAGAGTGCCTGAGCTGCAGGACTGAGTGCAGGTAACACCACTTTCAACGGCCTCGGCTTGCCGAGGTCAGCTTTGCCAGTGTCCTTCACCGGGACAACGGGAGGAGCCCTCCTGCACAACCACCAAGGGCTTGACTCTTCCCACTCCTACGCAGCATGTCAGGGCAGAAAGGCCTCTGCAGCAAGCCACCTGCTCCGGGTAGCCATTCCCCTGTTGCCCCACTTCTCAGCTTGAGCTATTTTAAACTGGCATTTGTGTAGCTCCTGTTTCATATGGTTAAATCTAAATATTATCAAGTCAGCCTAAAGCAGAGAAAGTACACGCTCTCCCTGGGGGTGAGGACTCCACCTCAGCCCGGGGCACCCCATCAGAAAGCCTGGGCCCACGCCCTCCTGGGAGTCTGGGTAGGATGGGCCAGGACACCAGGCAGAGGCTGGGAAGGGAGAGGGAGAGGGAGGGCCTGGCTGGGTGGGCCCTCACCAGATGTGGCCTTGGTTAAACCAGCATGAAAAAGAGGCCCCAGGGTGTGGAAACTCCCTTGGCCGGAGAAGTGTGAGCTTTGCCTGTAGCGTGGTTGGGAGGGAGGCTGCAACAAGGATGTGTGTGCTCTGGATGCTGTGAGTGGTGTCACAAGGAGGAGGCCGGGGGCCAGCGCAAAGGGCAAAGGGCTGCCCCTGGAGCGGGTGACCAGCAAGTCCTGGGTGGGAGGCCGGGGACCAGGGCTACTTCCAATCTGGGCAGAAATATCTTGTTTCAATTTTTGCCCAGAGAGAAACAGGAAATAACAGGGGGGAAGGCCAGGGCAAAATGAAATGGGATGGTGGGGGTGTCACCAGTAATGATGGGTTAGTTAGCCCCCAGGCTCAGGCCAAGCCCAGTCCCCCCATCTTGGACCAGTCAGCCCCTTGGTGACACAAGGCCACTTCTGGCTTTCACCTGGTGTCCTGGGATGGCCGGCTACCGGTTTGCTCAGATCTGATGGGTTTCTGACCTATAAGACTTTCAGTGCCGAAACCAAGACAGTCCTGAACAAACCAAGACAAGGCAGTCGTGACCATCTCATCCCTTATGACAGGACTTGATGGGTCTGAGAGGAAGAGTGAAATAAACAGGCTCAAACTAAGAGGAGGGCTTCTGGGTGCAGGTTTGGGCTGGCCTCTGGCGTGTCTGAGACCTCTCTCTCTGGTCTTGGCTCATGCAGAGGAGAAGCTGGGGTCCAGGGGGCAGAGGAAGAGGGAATAAAGGGGGCTGAGGGATTGCCCTGGAAGGCTGGGACCACAGGCGTGAACTACGGCTGCACCCCACATTCACCCCCTCCTGCCCACAGCCCACCCTCCCCCTAGCCACACGCTGGTCAGGCTAGACCTTTTTTGTTTTGGGTAGACTTTTAAAAATCAAAGAGAAAAAGATCTGTCTCAAACTTTGAAAGGCCTAGATTCAAACGGTAGCCCAGCCATTTGTTGCAGTTTTGGGCAAGTCGCTGAATCTCTCAGGGACCTGTGAGACTTTTTCTTCTGTCAAAGGATATCGTTATCTCCATCAGGGGACTGGGGGGTCAAACAGGGCAGGGTGCATGACACTGGGAAATGTGTTTAGCTGGCACCCATCCAGGGCTTGTCTTCCAGTCTGCCTATGTGATCAGAATTCCCCATTTCCCTGAAAATTAACACAGTGACTTGTTTTCCTCTCTGCACCAGGCCTTCACCATGTCTACCCAATCCTTTGACTCGGTTTTGGAAGATTTTGAGTTATACGAGCTTGCAGGAGCCTGTGACATGGGAGACATCGTGGCCTTCGGGAATATCTTCCTGTCCATAGTCTACTGCCTGGTCTTTACCTTGGGGCTTGTGGGAAACTTGCTGGTGGTGTTTGCCCTCATCAACAGCCGGGGGCCCAAGAGCATCACTGACATTTACCTCCTGAACCTGGCCCTGTCAGACCTGCTCTTTGTAGCCACACTGCCCTTCTGGACTCACTATCTGATAAGCCAGCAGGGCTTTAACAATGCTGTGTGCAAACTCACTACCGCCTTTTTCTTTGTGGGCTTCTTTGGAGGCATATTCTTCATCACCATCATCAGCATTGACAGGTACCAAGCCATTGTCCTGGCCGCCAACTCCATGAATAGCCGGACAGTGCAGCATGGCGTCACCGTCAGCCTCAGCGTCTGGGCAGCGGCAGCCTTGCTGGCCACGCCCCAGTTCATGTTCACAAAAGAAGCTGACAACGAGTGCTTTGGAAACTTCCCTGAGGCCCTGGAGGAAATCTGGCCGATGCTCCGCAACGTGGAGGTCATTTCCATTGGCTTTCTGCTGCCCCTGATCATTTTGACTTACTGTTACTTCAGAATCATCCGCACACTGTGTTCCTGCAAGAACCACAAGAAAGCCAAAGCCATCAGACTGATCCTCCTGGTGGTCATCACGTTCTTCCTCTTCTGGACACCCTACAATGTCATGCTTTTCTTAGACACACTCGATCTGTATGACGTGTTTCCCAGCTGCAACGTGAAGCGGACTCTGAGGCTGGCCATCAATGTGACTGAGACTATTGCATTCACCCACTGCTGCCTCAACCCCCTTATCTATGCATTTGCTGGGGAGAAGTTCAGAAGATACCTGTTGCACCTGCACAAGAGATTCCTGGCTGGCCGGCGTGGCCGCCCTGCCCACGTCAGCTTCTCCCCGTGGGAATCCCAGAGCAGCAAGCGGGAGAGCATGCTGAGCAGCAGTCTCACTCACAACACCAGTGATGGAAACACATCCATTCTTCTCTGAAAGGCCCCAGAGCCTCATCCCTACAGAGCCTACAGTTCCTGAGTTGCACGCTGGATAACAGGGACAGACTTTATTTCTTACATGCAAGAAAGGATGGACCTGGTGCCCAAAACGCAGCCCTAAGGTTTTTTTGAGAATTATCCTAAAAATTTGAAAGCTAAAGGGTAGGCTTGTCTCTTACTGCAGATGTCAGGACTTCTTTGTTTACAAATGACAAAAATTCAATCAGACCAGCTTAGCTGAAAGGGAGGTGGTGAGAATCATTCACATGGTGGCATGGGCAAGGGTGTGGCTGAGCCCTCAGCATGAGGGGAAATGAGGGCTTGCATCTAGCCAGAATTTCCTCTCTGACTCTCAGGTTTCTGAGTGGTGACAGAACTCCCAGACTCACATAACACAGCTTTGCCATTGAAAGCGACTGAGACCCATCCCTTTCTCTGGTCCCAAGGTCAGAATTCCCAGGGAGGGTTCTGACTGACCAAGTTTGTATCCGATCTCCTCCGGCCAGGTGGTGGTACCCACAGGGAAGGGGTCCTCAAGGTGAAGCTTCCATTCCAACCTCAAGGGTAGAGATGCCGGAGGACACATTTCCAAGAAGCTTGGTAGTGGGTGGGCAGGTGCTGTTCTGATCAGAGAGAACTTTTCCATTGGCAAAGCAGCTCAGCCTCCCCACTGGTCACACCAGCCAGCACACACCACCAGCCTCCTCTTCCTGAAACCCCTGCTCTCGTGTCCCCAAACCCTGTGCCCCCTGCATCGAGGCCAAACTCCAAAGCCTGCCCCTGAGACCCTCCATCATGGTCACGCCAGCAGATTCCCTGTTGTCTCTCTTCCCCAACCTGCCCCGCTAGCCCAGGCTCTTCCATCTGGCCTCACACATCACCACCTGCTCCCAGAACCCAGGGGCCCCACGGGACACATAGAGGGAACTCTGGCCCCAACTAAGAAGGGATGGCTCCAATCCCAGCTCTATCACCAGCTTGCTGGGCAGCTTGGGGCCAACAGCGCTTCTGTTTGCTCATCTGTAGATTGGAGGTAATGGGACTTTTCACAAAGGCAGCAACTCTTCCAGCGTGAGGAGCTGGCCACCAGCTCCTACAGGTCCTGAACCTCATGTCTGGTGTCCAGCTGTCCCCAGACCTGGCACTGTGCTTAAGTGGGATGTTGGCAGATCCTGCAGGCCCCAACGTTTGATGTCATTCAGGCACAGGGGAGGCTGGCTCGTAGCTGGCCCTAGTGGGGGTCCTAGTGAGCCTTCCTGAACCACTGCTCCAGGCTGCCATGAACATTCCCTCCCCAGAGCCCTGCCCATCTGGAGAAACCCCCTGTTCTTCACACCCCTGCCAACCTGGAGCCCTGGGGTCACTGAAGCAGCTTGCTTTTGTCAGTAAATGTTTGGGTGGTTTAACACTTCAAAGCTTGAAGAATAATTGTGATAGTGCTGAAGAAAATGTCATCTATGTATAATCTAACCATGCAATTTTTGCCTTTGTCCACCCAGACCCTGTTCCCACTCAGAATGTTTAGAGTTGTATCAGATGCCCACAGAGCTGTAAACATAATGCACAGTTGTGCGATCTGCTTTTGTTTTTCTTATCATAGGCCAAAATAGCTCTCTTTTTCTAGATGGCTCCAGAAGGCTCTGCCAGGTGTTGTATTTGCTGAAGGCAGCTGACTCCTGGCTGTAGATCTGATACCTCCTGGCAGTGCACCTGCTCAGCGCATGAGAAAATGAATCATGTTCCATCAAGATCACATACTATTATTTACTTACCAGTGTCTGTGTATAAGTATTTCACTTGTTTCTAATATTTAGCAAATACATATCTTACAGCATTTCTAGCTGTGCAATTTCCTTTCTCCTCTTCAGTGATTTCCTTTGGGTAAATTCCTTGTGGAGATAACTGGAGCAAAGGGCACCAGGAATTTTTGGTTTCTGACATGGACATATGGAATTAGTATATTACAGAATCCTTTTTGAGCATCTGTTATATGCAGCCCATGAGCTCAGACCCAGAGCTGTTCTCAGGGTGAGCAGGACCAGGACGTGGACCTTAGTACTCGACCTTTGAATGCAGAGTGGAGAAAAGCAAAGCAGCGCATACCTTGCACGAGCTGGTAACAAGGACGTAGGGCCCGAGTAGTCGGTGGCAAGGCACCCCCCAGGCAAGGAGGGGCTGGCCTTCTGGGCCTGAGGACGGCATGCACACATGAGAGCTGAGGGTGTGGGGACCCCAGGATGTCACGGAGTTGGGGACCATCCAAAAGCACAGCAGCAGAGTGGGTAAGGGGCCTCCCCGAACATGGCTCAGTCCACCCAGGGAGGGGTGCTCTCCTGGGGGTGCCCACAGGTCTACTTCATCATCCCTGGGTCCTTGTCCCCATGTTGAAGCAAAACCTTAAACTGAATTTTAACTCTTCTGGACCGCCAAGAAGGGAGGGGAAAATTCTTCAGCTTGATAAGCAAAAGTAGACGAACAGACACCTTCATTTCTAGAAAATCAAATTCCTACCATAAGAAACACTTGGTCATTTTGCTGAATAAGCAGAAGAGGGGAAAAATAAGGAAGTTCATTGAAAACCCCTAACCAACAATGGTGTTGGTATCTAAATAAGGGAAGGAACACTTGGAAAGGGTGATTGGTGCTAAGAGCACAACTGGATCAGACCCTCTTCTGAGCTCTGGACCCCCCAAAGCAGAGGGAGGTAGTGGACCCAGGGCAGAGAGATCAGTGGTTGGGCCCCAGGGCTAACCCTCTGACCTAGGGCCTTTAACATCTCTGAGGCTCAGTTTTCCCATTAGAATAATAAGAGTCAAAGCAGCACCCACACCCTGGGGTTATTGTGAGGGTGTAAAAAGCTCACCTCCCTCAAGCTCATGTGCAGGCCTGTAAATCAAACTCCAGTAGGTGGTGGTCACTATTTTGACTTTTTCCCCTCTTACAATTATCAGACTGAAACTTTCCCAGTGAGGATACTGTCTCCTCTCTTGTTTTTCTCATCCCCAGAATCAGAGAAGATAATTGGATCCAAGCCCACATGTTGCAGGTAAGGGAAAGGAGGCCCAGAGAGGGCCCGAAGCTGGCCCAGGATCAGTTAACCAACGAGGGCAGGTCCCTTGGCTCTCAGTCTACTGACCCCTTCCTCATGTTGACTGAAATGCAGACCAGTCCCGCCTCTAAGAACAGAGAACACAGGAGCCACGGAAAACCCCAGAGAGACGGTCTGCGGGAGGAGGCTTAGGCAGGAGGGGCGCCCTGCCCTCCAGAGTGCAGGGTCTCGCTGAGTCAGTCTGCTTACCATGACAGGTGCGGCCTGGGTGGTGCAGCCTTTGGCGACAGCTGTTCCCTGACATCACTTCTCTAATGAAGACGTCTTCGGCAAAGGCTCCCGGAATGCCCAGAGGCAAATGCTGTCAGTGGCCTCCAGCAGAGTCAGGGTGGGTGGATGGAGCCTTAACCAGAGGGCTGCTGTCAAGGACAGCCATGTCCTGGGGCTCCCCTAGCACTGGGGGAGATGCCCAGTCCCTTCCAAATAATCCTACTCACTTTAGGCTTATTCTGTGTCTGTCAAATGGTCACCTGTGGGAGAAGTCAGCTTCCCAGGAACCTGCCACACAGAGGGAGGGAGGCTCCACTCTGGGTTATTGGAAAGAGCTCTCCTGCCCACAACCCCTCACACCTGGCGGGCATATGCAGCCTGGCTGGCCTCCGACCATCTCTTTCTGAAATGCTGCCTCGGAGCACCCAGGGAGAAAGCTCCCGTCTGGCCCCGCAAGGCCAACAATCCCACTCTGCGAGGCCCCCCTGGGTTCCACCTGTGACTGCCCTCCAAACTTAATAGTCTGTCCCAGCCTGGAAGATGACTTTCTTCTCCACCCACGCCCCACTGCCCTGGCTCATGGGACCCCTTCAGTCTCAGCGTGACTTACAATATCGTTTGCTTAACTTGCTGAGTTGGCAACCACATGCTGGGCTGCCTCAAAGCAGTGTTATCTGAGAGCAAGTGAGAGAAATAAGTCTTAGTAAACAAAACTATCTGGTTTCTCTTGGAGGTGCCCTCCATCCACAGGAGGGCTAAGCTGGTCCCTCAAGGGCGTGCACTGCTGTTTCCACTCCTGTCTTACATACCCTGTTGTTAGGCAATAGGCAGTGTTCCTCCCCAGACACACCCTCCACAGCCCTGAAACCACAAAACATGGGTGGCAGGAAAATTACTCTTTTGTCCCACATTTCCTCATTTACTTAGGTGGAAACAAACAGAAAATTATAATGTGCATTTCTCTGAGTACTAGGCCAGATTTTCAGTTTTCAATGTGTTTGTTTTATACTATTTATATCTTTTTCTGATAAAAGAGATAGATGCATATAGAAAATACAAAAATAAAGAAATGTATACAAGTTTAGAATTACACAGTATTTCACCTCCCAGAGATAACCATTATTTAACACAGTGGTTTTCTACTATGTCTTTCTATGCAGCCATAACTTAAAAAAATTTTTTTTGACTTTGACAGCTTGTATTTTTCCCCTAATGTTATAACATAAATGTTTTCCCATGTATGAAACTCAAACGTGATTTTTAATGGTTGCATTGGAATCCATATAGATTTTGGCCAAGTCCCTACTGGTAGGCAACTCCCATTTTCCACTCTTATGTACAATAAACACTGTGCTGAACAGAAACCTCTGTGCATATCTTGGTTATAGAAGAGGAATTTCTGGATCAATGGACTGCAGCATCTGTGTGTCTCTTACTCTTTCGTGTTGCTGCCACATACACATGAACCCCAATCCCCGACTTTAGAGCACAAGCACCTTCCAGACCTGTTCGGGCAGGATGTCGTGGGGTTTTGTTATTTTATAAACTACCTGCTACTGGCTTCAAGGGGCAGAGAGAAAATAAAGGCTTTCATTCTTGGGAGGAGATGGTCAGCCTGCTCTTCAGCAGAGAGAAAAAAAAAAGAGATAGGGGATTTTCAAAGTGAACAATAACATCGCAAAAGAAGTTTTAAAGACACAGAGACTACTTAGCACTTGGGTTAAGGGGACGCAGAGAGGACACCTGAGCCATACAAAAGCTAGGGGGATTTAGCATTTCATGGAGACAGAGTTTCAGTTTTGTCAGAAGGAAAGCTCTAGAGACAGATATGGTGATGGTTATACAATAATATAAATGTACTTAATACCACTGAGCTGTACAGTTAAAAATGGTTTAGATGGAAAATGTTATGTTATGCCTATTCTGCCACAGTAAGAAAATTTGGGAGGAGGATCAAGAGAAAGATGTGGCAACATGTGCTCTGGAGAGGGAGGGTGTCTTAGAGGGAGAAGTGGGGATGAACAGGTGCCCATACAGTCCTTGTGCAATTGGGCATTTAAAAAACTCCTAGACAAAATGTGAACAATCTTCAAAAGGAACAAAGAGAATTTATTCAAGGTTTAGCACAGTTGATTGCAGGGAGGCTGGCATCTGACATCTTTTGTGATATACCTGGACATAGAGCTTGTCACCTGCAGAACAAAGCAAACAAGAAAACCAGGCACAAGCAACTTAAATTTCTAGTGAATTCTCTCTGGATTTCATTTCACAAATTGTTTGAACTTTATATGCAAGTGAATTTTTCAGAAATCCAAACTGCAATGACTTATGGGCACCCTCTATCCTGGGTTTTTGCTGGGCCCACACTCCTCTTTCCCAGCACAAGGGAGGAATTGTCTGCTCTTGTCTAGGGCCAAATCCGCACTTGTGCACCAGATCCCATCCCGTCAGAATCCTCAGAACCCTCCTAGAGGCTCCATCCCTCCTCTAGCTCTTGTCCCATGTCTCTTCTCCACTTAGAGATGCTCAAGAGCTGCCTCCGTTCCAGCCCACTCTGTGGACTGCCTTCTCGGCCTTCGTGACCACTCTTGTCCAAGCCACTGCCACACTCCATGTGGCTGGACCTGCTGGTCCATCATCAGGCCAACTTCCTGGGCCCGCTGGCAGAATCCAACAAAGCTTGTCACTCCCTCCTTCTTGAGCACCTTTCCTTTTGGGTGCTGCAGATACACTCTCCCTCCTGGTCTTCCACCTGCCTTCATGGCTGCTCTTTCAGCCTCCCTCACCAGCCCCTGTCCACCCGCCTGACCTCTAAGTATCAGGGCCCAAGGTCAGGGCCCCAGACCTCTTCTCTTCTCCATCTCTACTCACTCTACAGGAAGGTACAAACTTTAAACCCATCTCTCTACACTGACAACACCCAAAACTTTTTCGCCAGCCCAGGCTTCTCTGGATTCCAGACATGTACATTCAATTCCCTGGCAGTTTCCCTAGGATGGACAATAGCATCTCCCAGCACCATCCCAGAACCCTGCATCTTTGCTGTCCAATGAGCAACAAGTCATTCTCCCAGGTGCTCTGGTCAAAAGCTTTGGAGTCTCCTGGGTGTGCCTCTGTCCCTGATACTCCACTTCCAGCACACCAGCAAGTCTCAGCCAGCTTTTCCCAGCACGCATCCTGCACCAGCTGTTCCTCACCCCTCCACCACTGTCCCTGTCCCAGTAGGGTCACCATCTCTGCTCAGACTCCACACCCTCTCCACTTACCTACTGCCCCTGCCCTACACTGCCAGTGCACCCCCTCATCTCCCCTTCTCCACTCAGAAGCCCCTGGCAGCACCTGTCTCCCTTAGAATAAACCCAAAGTCACTACAGGGTCTGGTGCAAACTCTGCAGCTGCTGTTCACAATGTGCAAAACAGTTATGAAGTAATAAAGGTTTACTGAGGCAGAACTAAGGGAGCAAGAGGAATAGTGACTAACATACTTGAAAATGGGCAAAGGACCTGAATAGGTGTTTTTCCGAAGACATAATGTGGGAATTATATATAAAGTATGAAAATCATATGTATAAGCACTTTTGCCTTGATGGTTTGTTTATGGTTCATGATTGTAGTCAAGACAGAAAGAGTTTCTGTGTTCGTTCACCATGAGGATTTGTTCATTATCCTTCAGAAGGTGAAACTGTTGAGAGTTGAACTTAATTAATGATTGTGCATGGAAACCCCAATATTGTTGTTAACAACCATTTTATCAATAAATATGAGAGATGCCTTCTCAGCAGCACTCTTGCGCTGTCACACCTTGAGTCCCCTGGCTGGTCCTTAAGATCTTCGACGAACAATCACGTCTCTTCCCTCATCTGCAGGTCAGAGACAGAGAAGGGACCCGACACATAAAAACAGCCAACAGGCAAATGAAAGGGTGCTGACACCCCTAACCACTGGGGAAATGCAGACCAAGACCACAGTGGGAAGTCAGCTCATACCTGTCAGAGAGGCCACTGTCAAAAAGATAGATAAATGCTCAGAGAGGTGTGGAGAAGAGGGAACCCTTCTACACTGCTGGTGGGAATGTAAATTGGTGCAGCTACTGGGGAAGCAATATGCAGGCACCTCAAAAAATTAAAAATATAATTACCACATGATCCAGTAATCTTACTTCTGGGTATTTATTCAAAGGAAATGAAATCATATTCTTGAAGAGATACCTGCACCCCACATTCATTTCAGCATTATTCACAGTAGCTAAGACATGGAAACAACCCAAGTGTCCATCTACAGACAAGTGGGTAAAGAGGATGTGAGAGCTATACAATGGAATATTACCCAGCTGTGAAAAAGAAGGAAACCATACCATTTGTATCAACATGGATGGACCTTGAGAGCATATGCTAACTGAAATAAGTCAGAGAGAGAAAGACAAATACCATATGATCTCACTTCAAGGTGGAATTTTAAAAAGCCAAAATGTTAGAAGTGGAGCAGAATGGTGGTACCCAGGGGCTGAGCAGGGGGTAGAGAGATGTTAGTGAGGCACAAACTTCCAGCTGTAAGGCGGACAGTCCTGGGAGGCAACGCACAGCCTGGTGACTATCATTTATCATCCTCCCTTGTATACTTGAGCTTTGCTAAGAGAGTAGTCCTAAGTTTTCAACACTTTGTGAGCTGAGGGATATGTCAACAAAGGTCATTGTGGTCATTTTGCAATTTAGAAGTGCATAAAACCATCTCATAGACTTTATATACAATATTAGGTGTAAATTACACCTCAGTAAAGCTGGGGGTTGGTGGGTGCAGAGGGAAGAAAAATAGTGACTAAGTTTCCACTAATAAAGTCTTGGTATTTGACTAAGCAGGCGGCAATCTGAGTTGTAGGGTGGCCTAGTTAGTGGCCCATTGATACTTGAGAGCTGTATTTAAATATATCTAAAGAAGAAAGCTCTTCTTGTTTTTAGGATTCATTATTTGAGGTTGGAGCAT